GATGGCACTTGCTTGTCCAATTCCCTCAAAGATTCATCAATCTGCCTCCCGGGAGTCCGAAAGGAAACATGAAACTTCGTCTCATACACAGATCAATTAAATGCAAAATATAAATAGACAAAAAAGAAATATTAGACCCCATTTTCAAGGTTTTGAAGCACAAATCTTCCAAGAACATGTACGGCTGAAAGATTCAAGAAAATTATCTAGATTAGATTTCATGGTTCATTTCTAGAAAAACTATAATCTATAGCTACGAGATTTATGCTTCAATTTTTTTAAAAGAGAAAAACACTGATACCGATAAAAAAAAATTATTTATTATCTGGGTACAAGGTAAACAATTCCACAAAATAGAGATAAAATTATTTTGAGTGCCTGAACTTATATATTTTTAACAATTAAACGTCTGATCTTTAATTTTACTTAAATAGTTATATGATATTTTTATTTTATAAAATAAAATATCTAAGTAGATGTATTTTGATGAAATGATGATATAAATACTAACATCTAACAAAATATTTAAGGTTGACGTCATAATAAAATGTCAAAGCAATTAAATAAAAAGGAAAACTCATTCCAAATCCAGTTGAATATTAAAAGACTATATATATCCAGTTGAATATTAAAAGACTATATATATATATATATGTCCAGTTGGAATTGGAGGGGGGGGGGGCATCATCGAACTTGTCGTTGACCGGTCCGATGACAGTTCTGACGGTGTCCTCGACAGTTCGGACACCCTGTTTAAGTGGAGAATTTTCTTTGGCATATCTGCAGACGCTTGAAAAACAGACCACCACGAAGATCGGCACCACTTGAACACTTGAACAAAATCTACATGAGCTATTTTCTCCTTGTCTTCAACCTAATTGAACATGTATATAGAATAATAAATTAATTTTAATCACGTGATTGCAAAAAAAAGTGAATTTATTTCAGATTACATGACAGTTCTTTTTTCAACGAACAAAAAAGTTTATTTTTATTTGTTTCGGTAGGGACATAATTAAGAAAAAGAAGAGTAATAAATCTGAAGTTTGTTGGGAAGTTGATTCAGGGTTGGCTCATGTTTGATATATTGGGAAGTTGATTCAGGGTTGGCTCATGGTTGATATATATATAATAAGTGGTTTTTTCTTATATTGTTGTCTCGCTAGTATAAAAGGAGATTGACAGAGGGAACAAAAAAAGAAAAAATAGGTTTGAATACTTATGATTTATCAAAAAAAAATCTTATCTTTAAGGATTGATTTGTTTTAAATAAATAAATAAATTATTAAACTCAATTTTTTTTTTTAGATTAACGTGGGTGTCCGGACCAGCTTGCGTGCACCACGACTAATCCCGCAGGCCCTGAAGTTAACGACCATGTAAGCCTCCAGTTGCCATCATATGAGCAACTAAGGACTTGAACCTGAAACCACGGAGCGAGCAAACCCCTTAGTTCCAAGTCTTTACCACTTGACCACCACCTAGATGGTTTATTAAACTCAATTATTGATCAACCAAGTGTTGGAAGATAAAATTAAAAATTAAATTAAATTAAAAATAAGTTGAGTTAACCTAAGTTAGTCTATAAAACCTTAATTGTAATACTAGGATAATCTCTTAAAATCTTTTTTAAATTAATTTATTTTTAATTTCATCATTAAATATTAAATTAATTGAAAATCAAACAATATAATTTGTTTAGATTTGTTTAGATTTGCTTTCTATGGCCTTATCTTAGTCATATGACTTAGATTTGATAGGTTAACTTGGGTTAATTTGATTTATTTTTATTTAGATTTTATTTTTAATTTTATTATTCAATATTGAGTTGATTAAGAATTTAATTTGATATTTTTTATTTATTTTTTACAGGATTATTAAAGTTTCATGACTTAGTGATGAATTTAATAAGACAACCTTAGCTAATCCAAGTTGATATAATATATTGTTGTTTTAATATGTATTTTTTAAATATTACTTTAATTTTTTAATTAAATTATATTTTTATTAATCATCTAAATCATTATATTAAAAATTTCAAGTTTATATGTTACGGTTTATTTTTTTTTACTAAGAAAAACATATTAACAATATCTAGAATTTTTTTCACATCCAAAAAATTGATTTAGCCTGTAATGTAGCGTTACTTTGAAAATGCATACAATTAGTCATAAAAATACAAACATGCTCTTAAATAACTAAATAAAATTAAGCAGCTACAGAAGTAGCAACAGCCGCTAGTTTTTCTTAAATAAAATCAGGGCAAACTGCGAACCCAAAAACAAGCAGGACTCCGTCACCCAGCCAGAAAACCTTTGACCGAATTCGCGAAACCGAAAAACAAAAATGGAAGCGCTTCTAAGACAAGTCTTTGGCGACTCATCAGACAGCGAAGACATAAGTGAAGAGAAAGTAGATTCGGTAGACGATGTTGGATGCCACTCAACCTCGGACCGAAACTACCCTACCTGGGAACCCATCAAGGAAATCAAAGGTTTATGGTTGTGCCGACACTTTCTCTCTCCTCATCAACAATCTACCTTCCTCTCCGCTATTCAAAACGGTGCGTGCGTTTCCATCCAATGCTTTGATTCTTCTTTTCTTGGTTTAATTTAATTAATATTCAAGAGAATTTCGCTTCTTATAATCTGTGGAAATGCAGAGGGATGGTTTCTTGAAGCCTCCAACAATCAGGTGGGGACACGGCCTAGAACTGAACTCGATTCTTTTTTGAATCAGAATTAGTGTTTTAGAGTTTAACATAATCATGGGCTGGAATATTGATGTGATTTTGTGATGGATATTCACTGTTTCTTGTAGGCTATGAGATTTGGAGATCTTCCATCCTGGGCCATTGAGCTCTCTAATTCTATTCGTGAGGTGGTTCTATACGGTGATCGTACCCATGAAGCTCCTAGCTGTGCTGGCTCTGATAGTGGCGAAGCCGCCTGCTGGCTGCCTCCTGATTTGCTGTCGAGAGAACCCTTTTTTGATCAACTAATTGTAAATGTATACCAACCAGGTGAGGTGCGACTTCACTTTCTACATGACCCGCAGATAAATTTTTCATGTGAACTTTTATACTGCTAAGCAAACTACGGTCGAACCATATCATTTTAATGGCAATGATACTTCCTTCATATGCGGTTGCTTTATTGAGCATTTGCAATGTTTACTAAATTGCTATAATCTGCATCCATGGATACCGGTATCAGTTTCCTGCATAGAGATCCAAAGCGAAAACAGAAACTGGAAATTGAAGACATTGATATGCATTTTGCCCATGGCATTTATATTATAGAAGCATTTCAAATAATTGCCAAACCAATCAATTTACTCTGTTAGTCTTTTTTTTCTTGACAAGTATACATAGGTGGGATAGATGGCTATAAGTTGTGGTTAGAGAAGGCTAAGAATCATTCCTTGTACTGTTTATGCTTGTAAAATTTCAAGTACACTCTATTTTGCTGTTATACATGTCTTGCTTGAAGTCTCCGTAATGCATAATTTAATGTGTCTTATGTTGCCTTGGAAACATAGTTTGAGAGCAATTGGGGATAGGTCTGCTTGATAACATTAACATCAATTCATTATGTTGCAATTCTATACAGTAAATTTTATCTTTTAGCACTCTGCATTAATATGTTCCATCTTGAGCAACTAATATAATTCTGTTTGCTTTTGGTTGCTAGTTGAGCTTATTTTTTGATTCCATCACTGGTAGATTCAACGTTCTGTAGAGACACAGTGAATATATTACTTTACCTAGATATTCCTTCAATGATAAGATGTTTGCATTTGAAGGGGATCTGTGCACATGTTGACCTCATGCGCTTTGAAGATGGAATTGCCATCGTTTCCTTGGAGTCCTCCTGCGTGATGCACTTCACACAAGTTGGAGAGGTCTCTGAGTGTGGCAAGGAGCAACCAGAGCTGCCCATGATAAAGATTCCTGTTTTCTTGATGCCAGGATCTCTAGTTCTATTGTTTGGGGATGCCCGGTACCTTTGGAAGCATGAGATTAATCGAAAACCAGGATTTCAGATGTGGGAAGGGCAGGAAGTAAATCAGAAGAGGAGAACCTCTATAACTCTGAGAAAGCTTTGCCATGCCGATTAGCAAGGCAATAGCACATTTTCAGTCAGATCTTGAACTAATTTCTTTTGCTTTTCCAATTTTTTCCTCCTGGCATCATGTGCTAATTTGGTGCTTGGGTTCATCAGGATATCTTAGACAGTACAAATACATATCTGATTTATAGCATTTTTGGAAGCATTTGGGTCCGTTGTTTATATCTGATTAGCATACATGTTACTTTTAAAATAAATTGAGAAAAGCTTAAAATTAAACCTCACAACATATCTGCAAAAGAATGCATAAGCATTCAGACTTCAGTGGTGGAGCTAGAACAGTAACAACTGGAGGGCAATGCGAGCAAACGTGTACGATGAGAATGTAAAAATATTACTCAGGTAAATAACTAAAACAGTGAGCCAATAGAGTAAATAAGTGAACTTTGAAGCCATATTTCTCGGTACAGAAAGATACGATACGATGCGGAGGATAGAGAAGTGGATTTCATGAACAACATAAAAGCTTGGTATGGCATCAGCTAATATACAAGTGCATTTCATTTTCATGATAAAAGAAGGAAAACAGAGGCATTTCATTTTGACATATAGTCATGGTTAGTTTTTGTGTTTTAAAAGTAATTTTTTTAAAAATTAAATTTTATTTTATTTTTTTTATTTTAAATTAATATTTTTTTAGTGTTTTTAGATTATTTTAAGGTGTTAATATTAGAAATAATTTTTTAAAATAAAAAAATATTATTTTAATATATTTCTAAATAAAAAATACTTTAAAAAATAACCACAACTACACTCCAAAACATCCAAAAACATCCTCACGATGATCAGTAACAAGATAAAAATACTTTAAAAAATAACCACAACCACACTCCAAAACATCCAAAAACACCCTCATGATCAGTAACAAGATAAGTCACACGGGCTATTATTGCTTAAAGGGAGAGTACTCGGAGGGGAACATTCACTTCAAGGGCGGAATTTGCAAAACGTTTTGAGCTCTTCTGCTGGTTTATCTCCTGCAAATCCACTGTCAACCCAGGCAGAGTATCCCCCTTCCATGTTTGTTACATGCTTGAAGCCCTGCCATCACCAAATCTTTCCATGAATGTTTTCATAGTTGAATTTCATGAATATATATAGTTGAGAATATTTAGCGCGTGTCTATGTTAATCTGCTTTTAATTAGCTAAAACAAACCCATCTACTGCGAGGCCAAGATAAATTTCTTACAGCTGAATACTCAATTCTATGGTTTATACTAAAAATGTACGTAGAAATGCTCTGTTAGAATTTGAAGTAAGCTTACCGCACCCAGAAGATCAATACAGGCACGGAGTGATCTGCCTCCGCTGTTGCAACCCTTCACAATTTCGAACAATCTCTTGAGTTAGATGCAAAGTTTTAAATCTGCATTCCTCCGAAGAGCTAAAAACACCAAATACTTCTTTTCATAAAATGAAAGGCGATCCGACTGAATAGCAGCTTAGATTTGTACTTGATAGTGCAGTCGGCTTTTTGAGAAACAAGATCTTAAAATACCACTTTGGTGTTGATGGATTGTATCAGAAAATTACTCTCCCTTCACAATAAATTATTATTCTAAGTATTTTCTTGAAGCAATATGTAACTAAAAATAATCAATCTCATATATATATATATATATTTATAAATTTTAACAGATTTTATTATTTCGTTTGGTTCATCTCTTGCCATGCACATAGCAAATATATTGTAGAAAAAAAAAGGTAAATGCTTTCCAGCACTATGATCCAGGATTTACCACCACAAGATAGTCATCCTTGTTGCAAATTGAGGCAACTTTGCTGAGAAATTCAGGATTTTTCACTCTGCCTGCTTGTTGCCAGAAAAACCAACAGAAGCTCGTTAGTTTAAATCAATTACTATGCTATTCTTGCTGGGCTTCTTCATAAAACAATCCTGTCATGTTAAAATAATCAAAGGACAGTAGAAACAGTATTTTTTTTTTTTTATATTTATAAAATCTGGCTTAATCTATTTAAGACCGAATCAATTTAAAATGACTTTATTACAAAAATTTTTTTTAATCAATTTAAAATGACTTTATTACAAAAAAATTTTAAAAAAAATTGAAATAATGTCATTCTAGTTTTCTTTAATAAAAAAGTCAAATAAAATCTTTTCAAGTTGTATTTAGGTCACAAGTAAACTTATCAAATTAACTAGTTATTTTTATCTGGTCTGATATAAAATCTGACCATGTTCGTAAGGGTCAAGTTAGGTTTTATAACCATACCATTAAAGTTTCACTATATAGAAGATATCCAAAAAATGGTTTCAATTTACCTTCATCAGTTTTGAACATAAAAGGAACGTTCAGGGCATTGTCTACGTGGCTCTTGTTGAACTCCTCGGCGGTTCTACAACCGATGAAATGATTGTCAAACATTTGGATCACAGGATTTCTCTCCCGTTCTAAAACATTTGTATAATCAAATACGTTTTATTTTTCAAAAATTGGAGTGAGAAGTTGCTCTTTCCCCAGGAACCAAGCGATCATAATTTGACTTCAAGGCCAAGAAAACCTACCTCACGTCCAAATAACGGTGACCGGAGGCGATGAGACCTTTGGCCTTGTGAACATCGACAGTGATAACATCTTGAGGCCTGCATACAATGAAAAAGGAGGTGAAAGAACCGGGGAAGGGGGATTATTACAGTCTGTATTGCAGCTTCATGAAAGAATATTTGAATTAAGATGGGAAACTTTACCTCTGGGTGGCATCCATATGGAAGATTTGCAGTGAATATCTCTAGCGTTGTCGGATCTGAAACTTGAGGAGGAATGCGCCCATCATACAGGCATTTGGTTATATAGATGAGAAAATAGAACCCTTTGCTCTAACAATTTGACATTTGATCTCAATAAACAATCAATAAACTATCATTCTTGCCCTTTTTTTCCGGCCACGGACGTCTGGGATGACTAATGTGTAGCTCCTACGGACACTGCATTATTTGCAAATGATAACTTAGTTGACTTTAGCTTCTTTGTTTTTTTTTTTGGGAAGTTGACTTTAGGATGGCGCTTCAATATGGAGCTCCATTCTTTATTTTGCTCCTGCAGATCTATCTACCTTTGCCTGATTGCCTCTGTAGTTCTAAGATTTTGCAATTTTATCTATGTAGTTTCTTACAAGTTGCAATATTATCCCTGATCACTCTCTCAGATAAATTAAAGACATCATTATTTCATCTATATTCTCTCATGATTTGTTTTTATTTATTCATATTTACTTCTGATATGGCAATGTAGGTGATGGTAACTGTTTTAAAAGAGTAAGAAAAATTTGGGGTGGGGACATTAGTTCAACGAGTTCAATAGTTTTAGTTAATTTAATAATATGATTGAAAAAAATAACAACATAAAAAACCAATGACTAATTAAAAAAAATAAACACTTGCTAGTATTATAAAAAAATACCCTTTAAATATTTTTAAAATGTCTTGATGATCTAATAAAAAATTATTATATATTTTAATGATTAGTAAAATAATTAAATTGTAAATTTCAAGATTTACATAAAATTTTTAAAATAAAAAATTTTAATTTAATAAACACTAACAGTTTTTACTAAATGGTTGAATAATACACGTGCAATGTCAATAACTTGCCTGATGAAAATGCCTCTCAATTAAAAGAAGTATTTTTTTTTTAATGGTTGGAAAGGTATTTTCACAAACAAAAATAAAATAAAAAACATAATTTTAATATATTTATTGATAAAAAATATAAATAATTTTTTTTAACCACAAATGCTATCACCCTCCCCTCCCAACGCACTAAAATACCTTTTGACAAAAGTTTTATAGAATTAAACTACAAATATAGACGAACACCCCGGTGTCCTATTAACTTTTCAAAGAAAAAGGAGCTTAAGATTTACAATGGCTAAAAACGAAGCCCATGCCAAACAGGGCTTAACCAGATCGCCTGCAATGGGATTCGCCTCTTTGAACTGTCGAAAACATCCAACAAGAGCCCCAAGCGCAGCTAAACAAACTAGCAACCCAACCCCCGGCGCTACCATCCGAAACACAATCGGGTCCCAAGCCAAACTCAAGCCTAGCTGAGCCAAGTAAAGATAGAGAGCCGCTGGGTTCCTGTGGAATCCGCCTTCAGCCCAAACAAGCCAGGCCGAGAGTCCCATCAGGAAACTCGAAGTCATGCAGGCCATGTGCAAGGCCCACGGAGGTGGGAACCAGAAGGGCATAGATATACTCCCGGTGCTCGTTCCGTAGCCCTTGGTTGTGCCGAAGAAATACAGGTTAAAGAGGGTCAAGGAGAAAGGAAGAGCAACGGCTATGGCTAGTGATCTAATTCCATGTTTGGCCATAGCTACTCTCTTTTCACGTTTGAGTCTTACGGTCCTGCTGTTGTCTTTGCTCTTGGTGGGGTTAGAGATGTAGTGATCATAGTCCGTGTCTCTGATACGCTGTTTAGCATTTTGGGAGTCCATTTCTGAATTAGATTGAGAGAAATTTAGACAGAGAAACAGAGAGAGAACTTATGGGAGGAATTTAAATTTAAGGGGAGGCTGTTTTAAAGAAGAGCCATGCATGTGTTTTTTTTGGGTCATTTTGGAGAGGTGAGGAGGAAGATGAGTGATACGTGGGCGAACGAGGTGGAAAGAAGTGGAGAAGAAGGGTAACACGTGGCTGACAAAAGGGCACAAAGAGATTTGGTCTTCCATGCTCAGAATAGTCTAGCTCAGGGCGTGGTGATGATGCTGGAGGCGCGGGGGAGGTGCTAGTAACGTGTTTGATGATGCATTTACACTTTAATTTAAACTGAAAGATTGATGATTTTTAAATATAAAAACATCGTCTTTTTCATAACATTGGAGTGCTTACACGTGCCCATTGCTTTTGACTTGCTTGGAACATCTTCGTTAGCAGGTTTTTTTTAGATTAATACAGGTGTTCAAACCAGCTTACGCATACAATTTCTATATTAATATCATATATTTAAGAATAAATTTATGTATCGGGAAGAATTTTTTTTTTAGCTTTTACATTAATTTATGATTGATTTAATCTAAGACATGATTGATTTGATTTTCATTCAGGTATTTTATTTGCGTTTAAAAATATAATAAATATTATTTTTAAAGTATTTTTTATTTAAAAATATATAAAAAAATATTTGTTTTATTTTTTAAATTTATTTTTAATAATAACACATTAAAAAAATAAAAAAATCTAAAATATTAATTTTAAATATTTCTTTTAAATTTAAATAAAAAACAAGCTCAACCTTAATTTTAAATGAAATATTAGTAGAGGATGTTATTTTATCATACAATGAAAAATAAATAATTTAATTACTCAAAAGAAAAAAATTTATTAATTTTCAATAAGTTAGAAATGTATCTATAATATTGTTTGTTTGTTATAAAATAATTTTATTTAATTTTTTTTTTAGAAAATAAATTCTTAAAAATTAAATTGTTTTATAATATTTAATAATATTATAAAAAACAAGTTAGAAAATATTTTATAGTATTTGATTATGTTATGAAAAATAAGTTATAAAAATATTTATTTTTATTTTTTAAGTTTGTTAAAAGAACAAAAATTAAATTTTATA